AAGGCTATGCAGAGCCATTATGTTGAAGGGGTGGGGTTTCGGGAAGCAGAAAAATGCTGTATTCAGTGTATAAGACACACCCAAATTTTCAGCCTTTTTTTGAGGGAAAAAGTTGCGTCTTATACTCCGAACAATAGGGTACATCAGGGTCCTTATTTTTTTTTTCTTCCTTGCAACTTGTCCTTCCCCGAGCAAGTATGTCCCTCTGTGTATGTATTTGCGTATGTGTGTGGCTTCCTTAAATGGCTTAGAAACCACTTAAGGCCCTAATGGCTTGTGTTGGCCAGCATTCCCCAATTAACTAATATCACTTTGATCCTATTAACGGGAAGGCTTTTGTAACCTTCATTTCCACTCTCCACCTCCAGAAGATAATCCTTTGCTTGTATCATTCACAAGTGTGGGGGGAAATCTGGCTTCCCTCCGCCACAATCTGTCTTCCTTTACAAGCAAGTCCTTAAACAGAACCGTTTGTTTGATCCGTGTCCTGGTGTCTGTTCTACAAGCGGCACTCCGGCCTGGAGGAAATGATCAAGGGGAGGGTGTTTTGGGGCATGCACAGAGTGCCTTTTTTTTTTCCCCATGAGCCAAACTATTTTGATTCCTGCAATTACAGTTTAGGAGGTAAGAGCAGCCTTTGAAATAGAAGCATCAGCTCAGCTTAAATGTTTGTGGCTTGCTGGTGGAAAGGGGAAAGAGAGAGAGAGTGAAAGAGAAAGAGAAAAAGAGAAAGAAAGGAAAAGAGAGATAGAAAAAGAGAAAAAAAGGAAGGGAAGAAAAAGAAAGAGAAGGAAAGAGGAAAAGAGAGAAGGAAAGGAAGAGGAAAAGAGATAGAAAAAGATTGAAAGAAAGAGAAAGAAAGAAAAAGAGGGTGAGAAAGAAAGTACGAGTGAAAGAGACAGAAAGAAAAAAATAGAAAGAAAGAGAGAAAAAGAAACAGGAAAAGAGAGTTGGAGAAAGAGAAAGAAAGAAAGAGAAAAGAGAAAAATGTGTGAGAGAAAGCAAAAGAAAGAAAGGAAAAGAGAGACAGAAGAAGAAAGAAAGTGAGCAAGAAAGAGCAAGAGAAAAAGAGAGAAAGAATGATTATGAGTGATTATGAACCTTATTGCTATGTTCCATTCAGGCAATCCTCGACTTGCAACGGTTCCCTTCGTGACCATTCGAAGTTATAACAGCACTGAAAAAAGTAACGTACCATCATTTCTCACACTTATCACCATTGCAGCATCCCCATGGTCACATGATTTATATTTCCATGCTTCTACCCACGTTTATGACGATTGCAGCACCCAGGTGGGTGGGGGGGGGGCGTATAAAGATAGGTAGGTAGGTAGGTAGGTAGGTAGGTAG